CAGCAAGTAGAGAGGGTTTGTAAGCAAGTGGGGTGTTTTGAAATAGAAATTATGTGAAATGAAAATACAACTTACATAGAAATTTTGAATGTAATAGCTCTTTGGGCAAGTAACCTTCAGCATAAAGGTTTTTAGTTTATTACAGTCAATTTTTGCCACTTTTTCCCAATGAAAGATCGGATGTCGGGCTTCATATAACTTGGAGCAGTAAAGAATGGAATTGATCCTCTGGAATTTACAGTTCTGGGGTTATCAACACCTCAAGGCTGCTGATTGTTGCACTAAACATCTTCCATCCTCAACTGGAGCTGCAACTGATAGAGCAGCCTTTGCATTTCTTAAATTTATTTAAGCCAAGCTAGAAGCAGGGAAATGCTGTGATTTGAGCCAGCAGGGGACGTATTTGGGATTTAAATACTAATGTAGGAAAAGAATAAATCCAATGAGTGATTAATATGAGAAAGTCTTTCCTTGTGTTTATATTGAACAAATATATCGAAGTGCTGTTTAAAGGAGACTGATTCCAACAGCAGTAGTGGGTGCCTGCCTGTAAGCTTGTTAAGTCTTGAGCCTCCAGGAGGCTGATTACAGCACAGCTTAATGGTCAGAACCATAGATCTGTTCTGAAGTGGCAGATGTTTATGCATTTAAGATTAGTATTTGTTGTAAGTGATCTTGAAAACTTCACGGGAATGTGTGTTAGCCGTCGTGGTAGGCTTCAAGGTGTAAAATCCATTTATCACTGATAATCTAATGAAAAAATGCATTTCCTTCATGTGGACCCTGCTCCTTATTTGAGTTAGGATTTGGCCTTGGTGCCTGTTCATTGAATCATTGAGTAGCTTAGGTTGGAAGGGACCTTTAAAGGTCACCTAGTCCAACTCCTCTGCCATGAGCAGTAACATCTTCAATTAGGTCATGTTGCCCAGAGCCCCATCCAACCTGACCTTTAATGTTTCTAGGGATGGAGCAGCCTCAGCTTCTCTAGACATTTGTTCCAGTGTTTCACTACCCTCATCATAAAACTTATTCCTCATGTGAATCTCCCCTCTTTCAGTTTAAAATCATCACCCTTTGTCCTCTAGCTACTGGCCCTACTAAAAAGCCAGTCCTGTGACTGACTAAAGGAGAAATACCCTGTCCCATAGAGTCAAGCTGACCACATCTTCCAGGGATCAAAGTTTTGATTTCCTGAAAGTCAGGATTGAGGATCATTCATCCCTCAGTATGCCCCAATCTTGCTCTATCCCTGTTTTACTATGTACCAGCCTGACATCACATCTTACATGTGTTAAAGATCAATGAACTATGTGCATTAGTGTCTTTGTGTGTGTGATAAATTCAACAGATCATGTATGTGTTTGCCTGAAATTATGGGAGGTTTTATTGCACATAAAATTTGCATACTGAAGTTTATCTTAGATCTGACAGTCTTTGGAATTGTTTCATGTGGAGTGAGTATCCAGTTTGTTCAGGGAAGTTAATGACAAAGGCAGGTTTAAGGCTACGAACCTGTAGACAACATGTTCAGACCTTTCTCGTGATGCTGCACCACCAGAGCTGCTTGGCAGTGACGGAGCCCTTTCAAGCTGCCCTTAGGTTGCAGTGTGGGCTGCCCAGCGTGCAGGTGGGAGGCTGCAGCCCTTGTGCCTGGGACAGACGTGCATTCCATGTGTAATGAATCTTAATTCCTGTGTGATTCAGGGGGTGAATTTACCTAGTCTGGATCTTTCTTTCTTGTGGAGAACAGTGTTAAGATTTTGTTTCTGTTAAGTGAGACCTTACTTCCATGAGTTCAGTTAAATGGTGTCTCTGTGACTCCTCTCTTGCATATCAAGTGTTGCATGGTTCCAAGCTATTCACATTACTCAGTCCTGCTCATCTTCTCTGTATCCCCATCATGAATATTACTTTAGCTGTTGAAGTCGAGCAGTCATCTTAGGGCAGGATGTGGCCATATTACATTAATATTGTTTACTACTTCACATTATTACATGGTAAAGTACACAGATAAAAACAACTTTACATAGGCTGGGGATTAAAAGAAATAATGAAGGTATAACAGTATTGGATTGGCTAGGCTGGGGAAGGAAGGGGAAGGTTCATCGTTATGAAGGAAAACGGTGCAATAAAATTGCATTGGTGTATAGACGTGAATTGATTTTGTGTCTGTTCCCACCTTATCCTTTTTACAAAACGAATCTGTAAAGTTCTTTTGCATAGAAAATACATACACTAAATGGAAATGTATTTATTTAAGGTATCTTTAGGGGTTTGAGAGAGTTTGTTTGCCCACTCTGCCTTTTCCTTAGTCCTTGCAGGATAGCTTTGAATACTATGTGAGTACATGGGCGTAGGTAGTGTGATCTAGTTAGCTGAGAGGAAGATCTCCAGGAACTCCTGCATTCCAGTGCAGTGAGTTACTGAGCAGCCCGTGGCAACTCGCTTGGCTTCTGTGCTCTTTTCCTGGTGCTCAGCTGCCAGCAGCATTTAGGGGGAATAAAACCATGGGGCTGGCTTAATGTGCTCCTGTGGAATTTCCGTGCTGGAAATGCACAGGTATGTGGTGTTAGTGCATAGCTGTGCAGCTGAAGAAATGATGAGGAATGTGGTCAGATGTTTGCTGCTGGGTTAGTTTAGTGAGGGAACGTGGTGTCTGCTTCCCAGGACAAAGGAGCCTTCTTTCACTGCTGGGTAGATTCAGTTTGTACATCGATGCTAACTTATGAAATTAGCAGAGAGCAGCTCCTTAATAAATCATTGCAGTTCATTCTTTGTGATAAAATGAGATTTGATTAACTTCTTGTGTGATTCACTTCCATGCCAGATTAGGAAATGTGAAGATAACCTGTCAAGTGATACCAGTTAAGCAGAGGAGTTGCGGTGTCCGGTGTGAATCTATAGGGATGTGGAACCATCCGATTGGTGTCGGTGTCTTGCATGCTGCTGGAGGCATGGGAGGAAAAAGAGCTTCTTGTGTGTGCAGCCAGCTGCTGGCGTGATCTTGTAGGGCCATGAAGAATGAGGCTGCTGTACATTTGTCCTGTTGTCGGAGAGGCTTCTGGTGAGGTGACAGTGCCTGCAGCTGGCACTAAATAAGTGAACAGTTTAGCAATCTTTGTACTGAAAACCAAAACAAATGACAGCTCACCCCAAGCAGATTAATAAATAGAATTTTTTTCTTCCCCTTTGCTACATTTTTTCACTTCTGTTTAAATAAGCTTAATTTCTAGCTGTTGTTTGGCATACGAAGGGCCTGCTATCAGTTTGTTTAGTTATATGGCAGTGTGCACAATACCATAACCTTACAGCGTTTACAGCTTGAGTACAGGCTATTTCTAGTGTGTTAGATGTTAATCACATTTTTTTGTATTTTGATGTTGTTTGTCAAGAAAACTTTCAGGTACTTGGAAAAGTGCTTCTAAATGACCAGATTGTGCTTTTTGCAATGCTGTTCAGAAGGAACACAGTGGCTTTAACCTGCCAGAGGGGAGACTGAGATGAGCTCTTAGGCAGAAGCTCTTCCCTGTGAGGGTGCTGAGGCGCTGGCACAGGGTGCCCAGAGAAGCTGTGGCTGCCCCATCCCTGGCAGTGTTCAAGGCCAGGTTGGACACAGGGGCTTGGAGCAAGCTGCTCTAGTGGAAGGTGTCCCTGCCCATGGCAGGTGTTAGAGCTGGATGAGCTTTAAGGTCTGTTCCAGCCCAAGCCAGCCTATGATGCTATGAATGCTCTTTCATTTTTTTTAAGTTTCTAGGCTGATCACTGGAAGTTTTGACTTTTGTGTGTGTGGTCTTAGAAAACGCGTTGATTGGAACAAACTTTTCTATTAGATGAAGTAATTCAAATGGGTTTCTTTATTCAGCTGTAACTTCTGAATCTGAAACCGCATCTTTTAAATGAAATAAATGAAGTCAAATCAAATTCAAGCGTTTTCCATCAGACTGTTCTTACATTGACTGCAGCAGCAACTACTTTTGTAGCCTCGCCCGGTGTGTTTTTCACCTTTGTGCAGATTTGATACAGGTCTAAAATACTGGCGTTTAATATCCTCTCTGTAGAAAGCTGCAGTGATGTGGATAGGAATTCTTTTTATAATATCAAAACACAGTAGGATTATTATTTTCTTTTATAAAGAATTTCATGTAGTGTCTGCTTTTTAGTCCCTTTTAGGCAGGGTTTTGTTGGTGTGTTACTTCATTTGTAGAGCAGAAAGAGGCTGAAACCTGGCTATTTACCTGTGTTCTGAGAAGCTGCAGATGATGCAGGTGAAGGAAGGCAGCCTGATTGGGCATCAAAATGGTCTGGTTACTTCTGCTAAGAAAAGTTTCTTTGATAAGAAAAACAGAAATTGGAGCCCTCAGAATGGAACAGAATAATACAAAGCTGGGAAATGTCTCTGTTCAATGGCTGCTTTTCAAGGTTTCAATTCATAACCTGCCTTTTTAGCGTTAGGATAAGAAGTGAAAGGAATGTATTTTTAAATGTTAATAAAACATCTGCCATATTCTCCCTGTTACTGAGAGTAAGTTTTGTAGAGTTTTGAGAATATGGAAATTAAGTCAAGCAAAGTCTCAGTGCCTTGCACAGGGCACAGTAGTAAAGGAGGAAACCATTTTAGGGGTGTTTCAGTAGTATGGTTTAATAAACACAACAAAAATACCACTTAGGTTTCAGTTCAGTAGTACAGCACAGGGTGCTTTTCCAAAAGAAGAAAATAGACTTTCTTTTAAGTCCTTGTCTTTTGAAGCTGTGCAACTGCTTTGATTTAGAAGGTTTAAGATTGAAATAGTTCTAGTTCTGAATATTGTGAGTTTCACTGTGTCTCCAAAACAAATCCCAGGGGCTCCTGTGTCTCATTGTCTTAGTTCCCTAAAGATCTGAATTCTTATTTGTTCATTACTACATGTTGCTACTGTAAATGATTACTTGTAAGACCTATACAGAAATGATTTTGTGCCAAGATGACCCAAGAGTAATGTGAATTCCATCTTTGTTTTCAGTCCACAGGAGCTTCCTGTCCATGATGCAGCGGCAGAAAAGGTAGGTCCAGTGGCATCCAGCTTTTTGACTAGGAAGTGAACGTTTACAGGTTTATGACTCTCTTCACACAAATCCCTATGAAATGAGGAGATGAAGCATTTAGTGATTTGCATTCCCAAAGAAGCATGTTCAGAATCCTGTAAGGATTGTGGTCCTCAAGGCCATGTTAACTCACCCACAGATCCCTTGGGGCCTGCACAAGCTTAGAGGTACTAGCTGGAATGAGACGTGAGTTTTCCTCACCCATCATATGATCTAGTAAAGGAAATGGAGCTCCTGAAGAGAGCACACCCAGCTCTGTCCTGAGGGAGCTATTGTCTCTGTGCTGTGAGCTGTCACCAGCTGTGCTGGCTGGCTGGACTGTCCAAGTGAGGTGGTGGCTTTGATGCTGACGTGTAGGTGGCTGTCCCCTGAGCAGTGAAGCACGCTTTTCTGCTTTGGGAAATGGTGGCAAATATCCCGGCTGCCACTGAAACTTAATGACCCTTGACACGTATACTATGGACATGCAAGACCTGGCAGCAGCTGGTGCAGGCCCTAGTCCAAAAATCCTGCTGCTGCTGGAGGGTGTTGGAGGAGAAGTTTGGGATCTGATGCTTTGGGAACGTGGAAAGCTTTTTATTGAAATTATCTGGAGCTGAATTTCTACTTGTCTGGGCCTAGTTACTATTGGTATTTCTCCTTGGTCTGTCAGCCCTGTAGTTATATCCAAGACCAGATCAGATTATTCTTGTTTGTCCCATATTGATCTTCTGTATGATCAGTTAGTTCTTTTGGCTGCACAAATCAGTAGAGGGCATGGAAGAGGGATGGAATGACTTGTTTCAAGGCAGCCCAGCTCCCTGGGTGTTGAGTAGGAGCGCTTCTGAAAATGAGTTATTTGGAGCTTCATTATAGGACTGGTAAGAAACACTTCTCATAAAGGAAGGGAACTTCTGAGTCCCTTTTGTTTTGCCTTGGTTCTTGTGTGTTTCTGTGTACTCAGCCTGAAATAGTTGGTTTTCCTGTGATGTTTCATTACATTTAATAACATAGTGAGTGTGCATAGAATTTCATTTCCATCAGAAGGATGCAGCAGGGGGTGAGTCTATGAGCATACATTAGACAGCTTGCAGTTACTGTGGTGTATGTGTACTAAAGCTCTGATTCACCGTGTCTTTGTAGGTAGCCTTAAATTACTGGGGGGAAAATAGTGTCTCAGTTCTCTGTCTCATATTTTATTTGTGCTGTCTCAGACAAAATGTCAGCATAGAAACTGTATTTATTGAATCAATGTTAAAGTGCAAATCTGGTGCTGTTTTGTAATCATGCAGTGACACTCCCGTGTTAGGCTCCTGGCTCTACTCCTGGTGATGCCCTGACCTCTGCTGGTTTGAGGTTTATCTGCCTTCTGTCAGCTGTGTTTGAATATTTACAATGTTCAAGATACCACTAACAGGGTAATTCATGTGTCATGTTAACGTAGGCTAAGACTAAAAGCTTTCTGTGCAATATATTTTAAAGGCATTTACTTGGCAGAACTCTTTATGCTTTCCTTTTGCCTTACTTCTGAATTTTTAAAGATATTCCTAAGCGGTGTTTTCATTTAGTTTGCCCCTTCTGTAAAGAATTGTTGTGTCCTTGTGAATTCTGAATCTCCGTTCTTCATGTACCCTGTAGTGTAAAGGGTTTAAGATGGGTTTTCTGCTTGTGTATTTCCATGTGCAATACTTCTAGAATAACCATTATTACAGTGAATGCAAGGCAGTTTTGGTGCTTCATTACCCTGCTGGGTGCTTGGTGACTTAAATGCATTGAATTGTTGTCCTGCATCATGGATAACTTACCCTTTAGGTTAACCATCCAGCACATTTGAGGTAAAACAAGGGGAGGAAATATCAGCTAGAGGAGACAAGCAGACAGAACTGACCTTAGGAAATCTTGAATCTGTGTGTGACTCTGTTGTTGAAGGGCTATGAAATGTTTTGTAGGTAATTTTCAGTTTGTTTGGTTTTCTTTGGTTTACTTTATTACAAATTCTCTAGGGAACAGTTCAGTGAGTTCTGGTTTTGTCTGAGGCTTCTGCTAAAGCATTGCATTAAGCCTTACCTCCAGCACACTTGATCTCCAAGAGGATAGAGTGCTGCACGGAAGATGGATGCTTGCCAACCCAACTTCATGCTTTCAGTAGCATATTATTTACTGACACAGGTGAAAGAAGCCTTCTTTGCTTCAGTTGGGGATTCTGTTATTGCCAGTGGCAAAATTGCTTCAAAGTGTAAAATGCACTCAGAAGGTAAATAAATGGATTTATTCTTTTTTTGGTGACAGCTACATGGAACTTGCCTGAAAGAGCAGCAGCAGCATCACTCTGCTCTGCAATGAGCTGTGTTAGATCTGTCCATGGTTCCAGTGTTGCATCTGTTAGACATGAAAGTGAACATAAACTAGCTAGAAGTTTTCAGCCACTGAGCACAGAAATAATTGCTATTTTGACTACAGTATCATCACTTGAGAACTAGGATAAATTGACACAGAAGACTTAAAAGCTTGAACAAACCTACAAATGAAGTGATCTGCTGTCTCGAAAGAACAAAACCCTTGAAAGCAGATCAAACATACAAACAAAAAGACTGGGGGAGCCGATCGGGTTTTATTTTTCTTGCAGATTATTTGAACAACATGTTGAGGGCAGAGACCTTTCCTGGCTTGATACCAGTGTTATTCCTGCAATGTAAACTATGCCTGGAGAACATCCGCTTGAAGAGATGTTAAAAGGGCTTATTTCTTGGAGAGGTTGTGAGTGTGGGGGAGAATCACAGTGTTGTGAAACTTGTGAAATCTGGAAGCAGCAGGTTTTGGTAGTTTTTCCACAGGTCCCCTTTAACCTAACTCTTAAGAAAAGTGTTTTAATTAAATAATAGGTAAGTGGCTGAGCTATTACCATACATGGCATGGAACCTGAACAAGAATGTGGGCAGTTGATTGCAGCATGAATAGTTAGATAAGTTAAGGTTGAAAGAGTACAGGCACTTCTTTCCCCATAAGTTTGTGTCAGGCTCCCGTCAGTTGGATTCAAATAAGAACAACTTAAAAACCCTAAACTAGCGTATTTCCAGGACACTTCGTGGACTGAATTGTGGTTGGGCTGGACCGCAGCAGTCATCAAGCTGGAGCACCTCTTGTATGAAGACAGGCTGAGGAAGCTGGGGCTATTCAGCCTGGAGAAGAGAAGGCTGCGTGGAGACCTCATAGCAGCCTTCCAGTATCTGAAGGGGGCCTATAGGAATGCTGGAGAGGGACTCTTCATTAGGGGCTGTAGTGATAGGACAAGGGGTAACGGGTTGAAACTGAAACAGGGGAAGTTTAGATTGGATATAAGGAAGAAATTCTTTCCTGTTAAGAGTAGTGAGGCACTGGAATGGGTTGCCCAGGGAGGTTGTGAATGCTCCATCCCTGGCAGTATTCAAGGCCAGGTTGGACAGAGCCTTGGGTGATACGATTTAGTGTGAGGTGTCCCTGCCCATGGCAGGGGGGTTGGAACTGGATGATCTTAAGGTCCTTTCCAATCCTAACTATTCTATGATTCTATCAAGCTGTATTTCTGCAAGTGCAAGGCTTTGGGCTCCTGGATTAAAGGATTCCTTTGCCTATTTTGTTGCATTGTTACCCCAGAAAGAATATACCAGTTCTGATGAGCAAAAGCTGGAAGTAAAGTTAGAATTCTATTGCAACAATAGTAGTAATTTTCTTTTCTATTTTTCCCCAACATTTCAGATGCAAGTTGATTTAATGAATACTTAATGGAAGTATTAATAAGTTTTCAGTATCCTGCAGAGCTTTGAAATTAAATTCTTACATTATTACCAGGTTGCATCACTAAACATATGAAACAGAATGTCTTTTCTGTCTTGATTAAACCTTGGATTTGAAGTTGGATGTAGAGGGAAGCTGTCCTTTACAAAGCCCTCTGTTTGTATTCATCTCTGAAGAGAAGGCAATAGCCACACATGTACATTTTTCTGCTTTAGCTTTTTCAGTGTGGATCCTCAGCTCCAAAAAAGAGTTGAAAAGTGTAATTTTAAAAGAAAATTAAAAATACAATTAATAGTTAACTTTGTAATATATAATATATATCTAATTATATATAATTAGATAATTATAAAATCATATATATAATATATATAATCAGAGACACCTAACCTACTTTACAGCATGTGAAATACACACTAAAAAGCTTCTTATCAAGTTTTTTTGGTTCCCAAGTTCAAGAAATTGATGGCAGCTGTAGCAAGGTTTTCATAGGCAGGATGGCCTTTAAGGCAGTAAGGTTGTCCTGTGCTTTCAAAACTATCTATAATATAAGTAACGTGTAGAATTCACATTTTTATTATGTTACTTGTTATACTACTTAATATAAGTATTTATCTTGAGAAGATGGAGTTCGTTTTGGTTTGATTTCTCATTTTATCACCTTGTTGCTGAAACCCTCTTGTCAGTAATAGAATTTAAGCAAGTAGATCTTACCTTTAGAAGAAACCCTTGACATTGGATACGGAGCCACTTAGGAAAAATGTAGCAAGCCAAGGATGAGAAGTGCAGCAAGGCTTTCTTGCTCTTAATACCCAGAATCAGAGCTTGTTCCCACTTCTGCTCCTGCACCGTTGCTCTTGCATCCACTTGTTTTTGTTTGTGTTCTTTGTGCTTTTTAAGTAGGGATGTTTTGTGTGATCACTGAAAATTTACCAAGTAGAAAAACAAATTGCAGGTTCTTGTACTTGCCTAAAATGTGTAGGAGAAGAAACTTTTATAAATCTCGTAGATAAACTTTTCTTACAAAATACAGTTCCTTACATAGAGCTGAAAACAAGGGTTTCTGCTTGATTTTGGATTGGCTGTTTTAAGTGAACCAGTGTTACTCCTTGTTGCTGTTCTTAGATGACGGCATGAAGAGTTGATGATGCTATGCTCAACTTTCAATAGTTTTAGAAAATCATAATTTGAAATGTATTCATTTTGGAAAAGTAAAAACTTCTCATTTCTTTTCAGCAAAAGCACCTTGAAATTGAAAGGACTACAAAATGGGTGAAGATGCTGAAAAGCTGGGAAAAATACAAGAACAGTGACAAGGTAAAGTTATGTGTGCTTTTTTCATTAGCTGTCACATCTGAATGAATGTATAACCTTAAATTAGATTCTCTGTTTATGAGATCTGGAAAAAAAGGCCTGCAACACCCCACACTGAAAGCGAAAAGCTTTCTATTTTTCCAAAATGCAGTAATACATAATAACCCAACAAAACTGGTAGTCAAATGCAAGGAATTTCTAAGGGCAATAATGCGTGGGCTCTCTTAACATATTAATGGTGATAATTCTGTGCTGCACTGCTTTGTGCTTGGACTGTGGGAACTGGGATCACACAGCACAGAATCATAGAATGGTTTGGGTTGGAAAGGACCTTAAGCTCATCCAGTTCCAACCCCCCTGCCACGGTCAAGGACACCTCACACCAGACCATGTTGCCCAAGGCTGAGTCCAGTCTGGCCTTGAGCACTGCCAAGGATGGAGCATTTACTACTGCTTTGGGCAACCTGTTCCAGTGCCTCAGCACCATCACAGGGAAGAACTTCTTCCTTAGATCTAACCTGAACTTCTGCTGTTTCATTTTGAACCCATCACCCCTTGGCCTGTCACTACAGTCCCTAATGAAGAGTCCCTCTCCAGCATCCTTGTAGCCCTCTTCAGACACTGGCAGCTGCTCTGAGATCTCCACGCAGCCTTCTCTTCTCCAGGCTGAACAGCCCCAACTTTCTTAGCCTGTTTTCATACAGAAGGATGTGTTCCAGTCCCCTGATCATCCTTGTGGCCTCCTCTGGACTTGTTCCAACAGTTCCATGTCCTCCTTATGTTGAGGACACCAGAACTGCAGACAGTGCTGCAAGTATTCATGTCTGCAAACTAATCTGGGGAGCAGAAAAAGTGTCAGACCTGCTTGTGTTGTCTTGCAGAGAGCTGGAAGTTGTTTTTGATTTAGGCTTTGGGAACGTGAAAGAGTTAAAAATTGAGGGGCCACCTTTAAATGAGTATAGTTGAGGTCTTCAGGAGTCATAAATCCCCTTTCAAGGGTTTTGAATTTTAACTTTACCTTTTCTTTATTCCTTTATATTAATGATTAATGTTCAAATTTACTGTTACTCCTTTGAGTTAGTGATGGCATCTTACTAAGATCTACGAGGCCTTTTATTACTGATCTTCTCTTCTATGGTTTCCAACTTTCTGCCCTCTTATTTTCCTCCTTTTTTGCATCCCAGGTTTACTGGAGGGCCTAGGATAGGTTGCAGCATGGATCAGTGAAAACCGCCTTGAGTAACTCTCCAAGTAACATGTTGTAACATGGGGCATATAATTTAAATTTCTATATATAGAGAGATATTTAAATTATCATGCTTGCCAGCACAGATATATTAGGATATCTCAAGATACCTGGTTATTTTGTTAAAAGGAGAGTTGTACTGAGTAATGTAGAGGGTAAAAAGTACAGGAAGCCATTCCGTGTCCTGTCCCCTTTGGGATAAATCTGGTTTAAATGTGAATAATATGCAACTCAGCATTCATCATCTTCAAAAGAAGTGGAGTTTTTTTGTTGATGCTATAACTGGAATCTGTTTGTGAATAGGACATTTTAGACCTTGGTGGGCTTTTTTATTCTGAAATCAAATGAAAGAACTGAAATCTGCAGGCAGCTACTTAACAATGCCCAGCAGTGCTACAGCAGTTCTTGACTTTTAGAAACAAAACAGAAAAAGAGTAAAGTGATTTTTTCCATGGGAATTTTAAGGAGGTGAATTACCCATTAATAATAATCCTTAAATTGCTTTGGGGATTTTTAGTTACAAAAGTATTTTTATGTTGTTCAGAGAACAAATAGTGGTCTGAGGGTAATGGTGAACAGTGGGTTATGTTAGGTATGCCATTAAGTGCTAAGTGCTCTTACTTGCTTTAAAAGCTAGGCATTTTCATGTGAAGAAGTTATTTGCTGAAGTTATAGTCTTGGCCATCGTAAAATTATGGAGGTGTTTCAGCTGGGAAGAAGCTTGCTGGAGAGGCTGCATTCCCAACACTGTTCTGGGAAGGTTTTCGTAAGTGTTCGTGTGGCCGTTTGGGGGATAACGCACACAGAACATGCGGTTGCAAAGTTCAAATTCCTCTTCTCCTCAATAGGGCTTAAAACTTGCATTTTCTGATGGGGTTTCTGTTGGTATTTTCTGATGCTGCTGATCCACCTGTATTTTGCTGAGGACTGGAGGTCAGCTGTTACATCCTAGGTTACTCCTGGATGACTGGCCTGCAGCGTGAGCTTACTCACTTACTAGCCTTTTGTTTTAGTAAGTTATCTGTGCACAGTAGAAAACTTTAAAGGGAGAAATTGAGACTACAATGCTTGTTAGCCTGATAAGCAGGGAACTGAGCTACTACAGTTCAGGTAGAGGAAGAGATTTACTCACCATATCCCCTACTCCTTAGGGGGAGTACCTTAGACCAGTAGCTACATCTTGCTCTTTGCTTCTGTTAAAAATACCAAAGCCAGTGGTGGTTGTTTTTCAGGGTCTAACTAAGAAGTTAGCAAATTCCTTTCCTTAAAATATCAAGTGAATGCATGAAAAAGCATAAGATGTTTCCTAATTTTTTATCATAATCCTTTCTGTCCCATCATCTCCTCTGGGAGGAGAAGCTTGAGGTCAGAACACTTGTGGCTTTGTTTTACTGTGGCGATTGTGTGATTTTGAAGACCAAGTATGTTCCCACGTCAAAGAGATGATAAAAAAGCCTGTGTGACAGCTACTTTGTTTGTACAGAGAATGTTAAATACATCTTTCAGGGGACACAATAGCTACGTGTTGTCTAAGCAGTAGAGGTCTTCCTCGTCAGCCATGGGTGACGTCAGTCCATGATACACTGACTTAACTCAATAATCCTCTGTTCACCAAGCATGCAGAAGGTACAGCGGGTCAGCTGAGCCGAAAGGGTTTCAGTTGATGTAACAAATTATAGGCTGAACTATAAATAGTGGCAGGAATAATTCAGTATGTTCGTGAAGGGGATGAACTGCGCTTGAGGCTAGGAAAAATTCCCACTGATTGTTGAACACTGGTGGTGCACACAAGTCTTTAAAAACAAGGGTGTTTTCCCTCTTCCTTCTCACATCTGGTGTGGTAAGTGAACCAGAACATGCAGAGTAAAGAATCAGCCTCCTCGCAGTGGAAGGTCAGACATTATTTGTCACTGCTGTGTATGGAAAACGAGGTGTTATTCTCAGGATTGTACAAAACGCACAGATCAAGACAGTTTTGATCTGAAAGTTTGTTGGAAGAATGCACCAGCTTTCCATGCTCACCTTCTTGAAGCACAGAAGTGGTCGTTGCACAAACAGTTCCTGACTCCTGCTTTCAGCTGACACTGGCATGGTTTCTGTGCAGTTAGATTGCGCCTGAAATCAGCACTGGTTAGAAACAGCACTGAAGGGAACACTGCAGCAATACTGTTGTAAGGTTATAGATTATAATTGTAGTGATGGCTTGGTTTTGGAGAATGGAATACTTGAGAGATAATTGTGTTCCTAACAAGAGAGCAAGGGAGAGTCAGAGAAGATGGTGGTCCCAGGGATAGAGCAGGTTATGTACAAAGTATAGGAGTTAAGACTTCATACATACAACTGAGAGAGTTTTGGCTTGAAGAAATCTGTTCATACTGTACACATACTGTAAGTGAATCCATACATTTGATGACATTATGCTTAATTGCAAACTACAGTTTTCATTTAATACTCTTGCAGAGCTGCCTGTAGGCTGCTTCCCTACTTTTTCTGTCATAACTTCACAGGGAGAATTAATGAAAAAACATAAACACGCTGATGTGTGTGTGCGTATGGGATGCTTCAGTTTACATCCCCCCTGATCCTTATTGCAGAATATCTGAAGAGGGGAGTACCAGGAGCTTCACACTCTTTCCCCATTAGAACTTCTGAGCTTAAACCTAATTAAAGAAAAGGGGTGTTGGTAATAGCTCAACCACTTCCCCATTCTTTTCAATATCTCCTACAGTGGGAGGTTCTTCATTCTTCCAGTCCCTGCCTTGGCCTGCCTCCCTGTGGAGTGTTTGCTTGCTACCTTCAGAGAAGGCCCATATTTCCCCTAGTCTTCATTTTACCACTGACGTACATGTAGAAGCTTTTCTTACTGCTCTTGACATCCCTGGCCAGCTTTAAGTCTACCAGGGCTTTAGCTTTCATATCCAGATCCCTGGCTGCTAAGACAATTTATTCTGTTCCTCTCAGGCTACCTGTCCTTGCTTCCACCCTCTGTGGGCTTCCTTTTTGTGTTGGAGTTTGTCCAGGAGCTCCTTGTTCATCCATCCAGGCCTCCTGGTGTTTTTGCCTGAGTCCTTTGTGTCTAAAACTCCTTGATTCCTGTATGATTATTTCGGCATCTTTTCAGTAGGGTCATCATGATTCTTACAGACACTACTCTCTGAAGTAACTGCCCTTGTGTCTTTGTATGATTCATATTTGTCAAAACAGAGCTTTCATCTCTCTATCAGCCCTTTCTCATGCAGGGAGTGTCACAGAGCAACAAAGTTTGTGTTCCACTGTGGTCTTTCTCTAGTTTATGCTTTTATTTTGTATTTGTATTTTACTGCTTAACAATCCAGGGTACAATCAACCAGACAGTAAATGCTTCCTGGCTTAGTATGATCATAACTTTCAGGAAAGATTAAATAAAACTGTTAGATGTTATATTCCCATTTGAGTCTTTCCATCGAGGCGTTTCCATCTTTCACTCACTGCCTTCATCTGTCTGTGATTGAAGTTGTCTAAACTGAGAGGGAAAGGAAGAAGAGAGACAATCAGGGTAACTGCAATTTCCAGCTGCTCTGGCATTCACACAGAATATAATAATCAAGTCTCCACTTAGTCTGGAGTCTGAACACAAAGCCTTAATGAAGAGTCCTCTTGGCATTCCTGAGATTTTTCTGAATGAGATGGAGCAACTCTTGTATTTGCACATCTTCTTTGTTTTATGCAACCCACAGAAGTTGAAGAACCTCTAAAGGCAGCAACCTTTGTAAATATACTTTCTTTTCATTATAAGTATACTTTCTTGTGAGCTTCAGATTTTAATTCTTTTTGAGGTGGCAGAGTCCCTCTGGTGCTTGTGCTTCCTAACATAACTGAGAAAGTCATACTTTCAAGAAAACCAGTTTTACATCTTGCAGCAGTAGGAATGCCAATTCCTACTCTTCACACTGTGTGATAGTGGCCTCATTTCCTGTCCAGGAACTTGTTTGGACTTCTGCAAAGCGCTCAACACTGTCCCACACGACATCCTTGTCTCTAAATTGCGGAGACATCAATTTGATGGGTGGACCACTCAGTGGATAAAGAACTGGCTGGATGGCCGCACACAAGGAGTTGTGGTCAATGGCTCAATGTCCGTCTGGAGACCAGTAACGAGTGGTGTCCCTCAGGGATCGGTGTTGGGACCGGTCTTGTTCAACATCTTTGTCGCTGACATGGACAGTGGGATTGAGTGCACCCTCAGCAAGTTTGCTGATGACACCGAGCTGTGTGGTTCGGTTGATACCCTGGAGGGAAGGAATGCCATCCAGAGGGACCTCGACACGCTTGTGAGGTGGGCTGATGCCAACCTCATGGAGTTTAACCATGCCAAGTGCAAGGTCCTACAGCTGGGTTGGAGCAATCCCAGGCACAGCTACAGGTTGGGCAGAGAAGATTCAGAGAGCAGTCCTGTGGAGAAGGACTTGGGGGTGTTGGTCGATGAGAAAATGAACATGAGCCGGCTTCAGTGTGCGCTTGCAGCCCAGAAACCAACCGTATCCTGGGCTGCATCAAGAGGAGCGTGACCAGCAGGTCGAAGGAGGTGATCCTGCCCCTCTGCTCTGCTCCTGTGAGACCTCACCTGGAGCATTGTGTGCAGTTCTGGTGTCCTCAACATAAAAAGGACATGGAACTGTTGGAACAAGTCCAGAGGAGGCCACGAGGATGATCGGGGCTGGAGCACCTCCTGTATGAAGACAGGCTGAGGAAGTTGGGGCTGTTCAGCCTGGAGAAGAGAAGGCTGTGTGGAGACCTCATAGCAGCCTTCCAGTATCTGAAGGGGGCCTATAGGGATGCTGGGGAGGGACTCTTCATTAGGGACTGTAGTGATAGGACAAGGGGTAACGGGTTAAAACTTAAACAGGGGGAGTTTATATTGGATATAAGAAGGAAATTCTTTCCTTTTAGGGTGGTGAGGCACTGGAATGTGTTGCCCAGGGAGGTTGTGAATGCTCCATCCCTGGCAGTGTTCAAGGCCAGGTTGGACAAAGCCTTGGGTGACATGGTTTAGTGTGAGGTGTCCCTGCTCACGGCAGGGGGGTTGGAACTAGATGATACTTTCCAACCCTAGCTGTTCTATGATTCTAATGTAACTTGCTGAATTTTCTACTTCTTCATTATTAATTCAGAGTGAGTAATTATAAATTCAGAAGAATAGATTCTGGTTCTGCAATTGTATAGACCCAAGCCAGCATTTCTCAACATGTTTTGAACCTTATATTACTTAAGGAAATAAAAGACAGCAGAGGGCAGCATTCTTATACTTACAGTAAAGATATTCTGCTGATAGTTTGCTCATTTATAATGTTTTTAACTGGCTGGTGACTGAATGATGAACAGAAAGGAGTGTTGCTGTCATGTATTGGTCCCCATCTCCTCCTCCCAGTTCCCAGAACACAGTACAGCCGTGTCATTTTCACAAAATCCCAGAATCATGCAGCATCACAGGATGGTTGGGGTTGGAAGGGACCTCCAGAAGCCATCTCGTCCAGCCCCTTCTCAGGCAGGGCCACCTGACCTCCCAAAATACTAATGTAGAGCAAGAGTTGGCTTGAGAATTTATTTTTCATAGAATCCCAGCCTGGTTTGGGTCGGAAGGGACCTTAAAGCTCCTCCAGTTCCAACCCCTGCCACAGGCAGGGACACCTTCTACTGGACCAGATTGCTCCAGACCCCCTCCAACCTGGTCTTCAACCAGTTCTCCTCATTAACAGCCTTATGGTTGTTGGAGATGTTTGAAAACGAGTTACAAAATCATAATTAACTGGCAGAAATGTTTGCTATCCAGGTACACTGTTGTTGTACCATGGATCTGAGGAGTTAAGCTACATGTCAATGGGAACATAGAATCATAGAATAGTTTGGGTTGGAAAGGACCTTAAGATCATCTAGTTGCAACCCCCCTCCAGTGGGCAGGATCTAAAACTACATTTATTCAGAATTCAGATTTGGTTTATGCTGCTTTCCAGGAGACAGGAATGTCTTCTCACGATGACTCCACTGAGACTGGTGTCACTTGGCTTTCAAAAGGCAGAATTATCCTCTTTCTCACAAGCAGTTATCCTTGTGTCTGGTTTGACACTGAAATTCTCTGTGTGAGCTGAAGCTTGGATATGCATCTGTAGAGAAGGGTGCTTTGTTGCACTGTAGTTCTTTATCCTTACAGAACAAACTGTACTGACTTACCTGTGTTCACTCTAGAAGTCTTGCTCCTTTAGCATTTCTAATAATATTGAAGCAGCAGAATTCTCCCCGAATCATCCCAGTTACTTTGTAGATAGCTTCCAGGATTGCTGCTGCACTTACTCAAGTTTATAATATTCATTTGAAAAGGTGACAGGAAAAAAAAGTTCTAACCTTACTTGTGTAAGAGTTACATATTCTAAATTCCACACAGGAATCTTTGCTGGCAGTAAAGGCACCTTCAAAGATCTGATCTATCCCAAACAGCAGGAGGCAATGTTCATTAATGTTCCAAAAGTGGGTGTGTGAAATACATGATAAAGGAAAAAGGATCCTATCTCTATTTTGACATTTCTTTAAAAATATCTCTGATGGTACAAACACAACTTTTATAAATGTTACAAGGAAGTAATACCTTTGTCAACTGACATTTTGAAGGTCTAGCTTTCCTTGTAGATTAAATGCAAAGAACAAATTGTTTGGGAGGGGTTGTGTGTCTTTTGTTCTTTTAAGTCTAATTGTTTCCCTGTGCCATCATGAAAGTAATGGTAATACCAGAACTTTGGAAAAGTTTGTTTTCTTTCTTAGAGTTCTCTGTTTTTCCTTTTCTTAAACCTAGAATCGTAGAATGACAGATTGATTTGGGTTGGAAGGGACCTTAAAGATCATCCAGTTCCAACTGCTGCCACAGGCAGGGACACCTCCCACTAGAGCAGCTTGCTCCAAGCCCGTGTCCAACCTGGCCTTGAACACTGCCAGGGATGGGGCAGCCGCAGCTTCTCTGGGCACCCTGTGCCAGCGCCTCAGCACCCTCATAGGAAAGAACTTCTTCCTAATACCTAAACTAAATCTGCCTTCTTTCATCTTGAAGCCATTCTTTTCTTGTCCTGTCACTACATGCCATTGTCAGAAGCTCCTCTCCAGCTTTCTTGTCAGCCCTTTTAGGCACTGGAGCTGCTGTAAGGTCTCCCTGGAGCCTTCTCTTCTCCAGGCTGAGAAACCCAACCTCTCTCAGCCTACCTCCAGAGCAGAGCTTCTCCAGCCCTCGGAGCATCTCTGTGGGCTTCCTCTGGACTTTTTTGTGAAAGAAGATCCCCTGGCCATGTCTCCTGAAAGATGAGAATGTTATTTGGCATGTTTTTAGAAGTACTTGGATTCAGTTGCCCTGAGGCTTTGCTTATCTTGAGTCTCTCCTGACTGTGTAAAGCCAAGTCTTTAGACATCTCCTCCACCTTCCTCTGTTTAGAGGCTCTTCGTGCACCTAAGTGCTGCAGCACAGAGATACAAATCAGAGTAGAACTGAGGAAGAGAGCTGTCAGTGCTCCTGATTTTTCGGATAAGCCCAGTAAGAACCAAACCAGTGAATGCGAGTGCCAGAGCAGCAGCATGTCAGAGGCAAGACTCATAGTTTATATAACACCTCTAGTTACACACAGGTACTCAGTTATCCCCTTATGACCCATTTTTAATACAAGCTTTATGTGTCAGAACAGAATATGTCAGGAATGGGGAATTTCTTTTTCTGTTTCACAGCTAAGAATTGCATGGAGCATTTGTAGATTGTGCTGTGTTTCAGCTACACTTTCTACAGCTATCTTTTATACCTTGTGCTTGTGGAAATGTTTTAATATGTATTTAAAAACCTGATAGTTGAGAAATATGATCTCGAATCTGTTAACTTTAGAATTGGCATCTCTTGGGGTTTTTGGTGGTCTCAGGTTTGGTTGGTGGGCATACCTACATTTCAGCACACTGTTTTAAATCAAATTCAAAATCAGTTATGCTTTTGGGTTTTTTTCCTCTTTTACTGGTAATCTTTAAAGCTTTGTGATATTGCTGACTGCCTTTTGCTGTTGCCATTAATAGTTTGTAGTTACAGCCAGTTATCTGTGGCTTGTCCTGAAATACTGTGTTCCAAAAAACCTGATTTTTTGGGTCCGAGTTACAAAATTTGGAGTAGTCTTTTCAATATTTGTAAATAAGTGCTTCTCAGCAGAGGTGATACAATTTTGATTGTATCAAATTTGATTGCTTCTACATGAGAAAGCCCTGGCTCCTAAGCTTAACCTGCACAGAATGATGTGTTGGTCTGTGTGTCCATTTCTTTGTGTCCCATATAATGCCACTGGATGCTTCAATCCCTCAAAAGGCAGAGAACACTTTGTCCCTAGCAGATCATCCCTTTGCTAGGACAATTGATATACTTGTATTTCTCTCTCTTGCATGTTATGTGTCACTTTTCCTTTATTCAGGCCATTGTAGATTTTACTGCATTTACATTTGTTTGTTTTTTGTTTTTTTTATTTTTACAGTTTCATAGCAGAATTTATAAAGGAATCCCACAGCAGTTCAGAGGGCAAGTCTGGTCTTTACTACTTGACATCCCTAAAATGAAAGAAGAAATGAACGACTTCTATAATGTGAGTTTGTAGGTTTTCCACTTAATACTAATCAAAAAATGCTAGATACTAAGAATACTGGCTTTATTAAGCTTTTATTGTTATGTGATGTTAAAAGAAAAAGAAAGGATAAGAAATTGTGTTGAAATTTACTGTGTGTTTTAGCTAGGAAAAAGCCTACTTACTGAACAGCACTTTTCCAGCTGATTTTCTGCAATTCATAGAATTAATTTGATCTTCTTTCCATTTCTTTTCCCATCCTCAAGCACTTGCAAAACCCCTTCTAAAAGCAAAGTAAAACAAAATAAGAAAACCCAACCCTGTCCCAGTAAGAAAAGAGAAACCTCCGAATCTGCAGCTCTTTGAGAAAGGTCCATTAAGGAAGTGCCTTGTTAGCTGAGGTCCAGTGAGAGGAGTTCAGTATTCTGAGGGGATGGAGGTTGGTGCCTTAATCTTGTAAAGGCCAGAACAAGCTGGCTATCTTTCTACCATCTCATCTGCAAGTGAAGCTTAGGTATCTGTTACAAAGCACTGTCTGGTTACTTAATTGTATTCTCAGAGGTGCAAGTCGTGACACGCTGTTAACTCCACCAAATTCTACAGGCATAAATTGACCACTTAAGTGTATCTCCTACTTAGAATATAAAGAAAATAATCTGTTACCCCTCTGTCCCCATCCTTACCCCGATTCAGCAACCTCTCAATTACTGTGGTCATGTTTCTCTAAGTTTTTCTCTAATAACTACTTTTTCTGTCAGTGTGAATACAGCTGATGGCCATCAGAGCTCAATTTCAGACCCAAGAGTGGAGAATAAGGTTCATGTGCAGGCTAGTAAGTTAGGCAGAAGGGGATTAAAGCCCTTAAAAGTCTGTCTTTTCCTCATTGTGTGTCTGCTGAAGGATTACAGGGAGAGTTTAGCTAACAGAAAGGTCATTTAATATTGTAGAGTGTTTAAATTAAAGCAGGAATTTAACTGTTCACTGCCTTTTAAAGAAGTAACATCCAGAGTTACAAGGAAATGCATTTCTTGTCTGGCTTTGGCATTTTCTTTTGGAGCTGAGACTCTGGGTCTGAGTAGCCAAGGGATCTTGTACAGTCATGAAAGAAGATTGATGTTGGTATTGTGTTATCTAAATTTTGGTATCTGTAATCTTCCTTTTAAGAGATTTCTCTCTCTTTAGTCTGACAGGCTGCTCTTTGACTAGTGTATTTTGTTAACTTCGTAAGTAAGATTAGTAGCAGATCCAAGAGAGGTAAAACAGAGTTCATGCTGAATGATGTAGTTGTGGGATAGAATACTGAATAAAACCAGAAACATTTTAAAATAGGTGAATTCATCATCAGAAATGATGAATGCCATCTAGTGCTCAATGTAAAGCAAAGAAGTGTTTGTAGTTCAAATAGAGAAGTAGAAAGCGTTTATTCCATATTATTCTAGCTTGTTTATTTGCAGTAAGCTCATTTTACTGCTCTCCATTTTTACCATTTCCTAAAGTTGGTTCAGTGATTTACAAGTCATTCCCGATAGGTCTGAAGCTTCTGGTTGTATTCATCAGACTGAATGAATGTCACTGTTCCCTGCTTGATCCCTTGTTTTTCTTAGTTTTGGTATTTCTTAGTTGGGTTTTAATTAGTTTTGGTTTTGAATCTTTTTGTTTTTTTTCAACCAGAATGTGTAGAGCTCAGCTGTTAGATTGTCAGTGGTATTCTCTAATAATGCCTATGAAGATGTAATGTTTTGAAAATACCATGTTGAATCCAGTTAGAAGTATCTGGCAAACTCAACTTTTGGGACAGATACGAGAACGAATGAGTGTATGGCAAGAGAAGATTATTGTAAGTGCAAAATATAAGGTGGCAATCTAACCTGTTCAGGCTTCCTAAGTATTCAATTGCAAAATTGGATTTACTTATAAAATGTTAAAGCAAGTGCTAAAGTAGAGGTATTCTACAACTGAATTAGATTAAAACAGAAAGACAGAGGAAATGACTAGAGAAATGTCCATTATCTATACTTAGATAATAACTGGTAGTTCTGTAGCTATTACTTCTGCTTAGAGAAAAAGGCAGGAAAAGTATGAAAACCACACTAAATCATTTGCTAAAAGTGTGGTCTGGAGCACTTACATCTTAGGTTCCTGTGCCTGAGTAGTGAAATGCACTTTCTGTCTTTCTCCAGTGATGTCCCTACCTGAGAAATGGCAATTAGAAATATGAAGTGCTGAAACACAGCCTCGAATGTAGGTAGTGAATGGTGTGCCACAAAAATGTGTATTATGGGCTTGGTCTTCTTACATCTATACTGTGTGAATTCTGACTCCACAGAACCTGTATATATGTATTTTGGAAGTTAAAACTCTTACTTTGGGACTTGCTGTTACAGTAAGTGTTTTAAATTATGAGATGGCAGATGCTTCAGTATAGCTGTAGTCAGGCAGGTTTCTGCTGTTTTACAGTTCACATTTTTAAACTTAATTTGTGTTCTTTACTGTTTTCCCAGAAATTGAAGTGTCACGCGCGAAGGTCTTCACCAGATATTAGGCAAATTGATCTTGATGTAAATCGAACATACAGAGATCACATCATGTTTCGAGACAGATACGGGGTTAAGTAAGTAAATTAAAAGGTTTCACTTTGCTTACCTTAAAACTGGTTTCTGATCTGCCTCAAGCCTCTCTGACCTGGTCAAGCATATTGAATGTAAGCTCCAGACTTTCAGAGCAGGATTATCTACACATGATTGTGTGACTGCTGTTATTATTGCAAAAACCAACTAGTCACTTCAGCTAGTTTCCCCTAACTATGAGGTAGTCAGTAGCATTCTGAAGAAAACCATTTCTAAGCTGTTCTCCTCTTGTTTCATATTTAATAAGAAGTCTTAGATATTGTAAATACTAAAGCATGGGAACTCCAAACTAATAAATGAAGATTTATTTTCAAAAACAAAATAACTCTTTGCATCCCTAATAGCTTATAGATTTTAGCCTTCCTTTGGATATTATATTCCTCTTCTCCTAGTAGCTAATTGACAACCAAATAAAAGAGTATTTTATATGTCAGTATTTAATTATCTACAGAGGTAGGCCTTAATACTTTAGGATTCCTTCAAAATTCTTGTTGGTTTGTTGGTTTTGGATGAGGAATATTAGGCAGCTGTCAGCTTTAAAAATGCTTAGAAATTAAGTAAGTGGTGATACAAACATCAGTATTGTTGCTAGCTTGCAGCATCAGCACCCTGCTGAGATGAAGAGGGTATTTTTTCCCCTCTGTGACTATTAGTTTAGTTTTTAATCTCCTTTTCTTTCCAAGACACATTCTGCAGTAGTCAGCTATTTTCCAAAAGTAATACTCAAAAGATCTGTGGACTTTAATGGATAATAAACCAAGTGTTTTCTTAGAGTATTATTCTAGGTCTTTTGTGGACAAATTCTAAATATGGGGAATTTCTCTGATGGGTGTAACACAGGATAGAGTCCAAAGCAAAAATTCCCAAGCTGAGAGCTGTTCTGTGCAGCCACTCTGTGTGTGTGTGTATACATATATACATGCATATATACTGTACATATATATATACACACATATATACACACAGACACACATTATGTGTATATATGTCTATTTGAGAAGTGCCATCTGTATCTGAGGTGCTGTGCCTCTCAGCAGTACTGACACAGTGCCCTGCAAAAATGACTGTGTTGCTTCTGGGCCTCAGTGATTTTTTATGCCCACATTTTAGATGTTAGCAGAAGCTTCCTACCTCCTCAGTTTGGGGTTAACAGAAGCAGAGCCAGCGCCAGCCCCTGCAGCTGTGTTGTAAGAATGCCGTCCGAATCCACGGGAAAGCCTTTGGCAGCCTAAAGCAATTTCACACTTGGAATAGATCTTGGTATTAGTGGACATATATTAATGCATTTCCAGTGATGCCTCAATGAAAAATTCAGAATCATTTCACATAGCCATGAAATAAAAGTCCCCTGGGTGAATCAATAGCTTCTTTGACTTTTAAGTAGACTGTGTGTCTTTGAAGTTCCATTCTTTTACAGGTCTTTAGTGGTATCACCTAGTGTAAATAGTACTGAAATTACCATTATTTAATGTATCTTACTGTGAACGAGATTGAGCTCTTATGTTCGGTTTCATATGGTCAGCTGAAGATATAGGAGCTTTCTGTGTACATTTGGGACCTTTCAGCTTGTCCTTGTAAAATAAGATTCCAGCTTAATGTCTAGTCCCGAGGCTACACTTTGCTCTGGTTACTGAAGAATAGCCAAGCTTCACTTCTGCAAGAGGGCAACAAAAAATGCCATAACCTGGATGCTTTGGTACAATTCTCCAAGTATGCATCTTCTTCCCAATAGAAAACGGTCAGGTTTTGGCTTATGCTTTCATTATTTAACCTGCTAATGTCTGTTTCTATACATTCGGTTAGTGACAGACAGAGAAAGGACAGCATGCAGACCTCAGCAGTTTAATAGCATTTGTAGTCATAGATAAAAGGCGGCATTCAGGTTTCTAAATTCTCTCCTGAGCAGATCCCAAAAAGTAGGTGTGAGTTTAAAAACTCATTATGAGAGCTCCCTGGCATTACTTTGATGTCCCACTTTGAGAAGAGCAGAGTTTTGGTTTGGTTTGGGTTTTATGCTTTTAGTCTTACTGCCTTCCCAAATGAGATTGGTTTTACAGAAAGCTCTCTGTAATTCCACCTCTGAAGTACCTGGAGATCAGTACACTCAGGAGGACCGAGCATAGGAGGTCGAGTCAGAATTGGTGGTGTTTTTCTTCACTTTGGCAGTAGCAGTCACCTAAAGCAGCCTTTGTTTGCCAAGATTAAGACACCTTTGTGGCTGCTCTGTGCATTTCAACTCTTCCACGTCTCTGTTTGAAGTTGGGAACAGCTGTTAGTGTTCTGCAAGCACAGAAATCCGGTCTGGGGTGGTTCAAGTTCTGGCATTCAGAATAAATCTGTGTTTGAAATGTAGTCCATCCTGTGTTTCACTTTGCCTGTAAAAATGATGATCTGATGCCATTGCCTTCTCAAAGTATTACAGGTATTTTTTTTAAACCTTCCAGCATATAAAACATCAGAAAAGTGCTAAATATTGTGTTGGTTTGAAATCAGAACCTTTATCTTTGTAAGGTGTGGTTAATCTTGTTCTGTATTGCTAGACAAATAAAAGTTCCCTACTTTTATGTCTGTCTCTTCTTACAAAAGACAATATTATAATGTTTTCCTTTTCTACTCTTATTTCTACAGGCAACAATCTTTATTCCATGTTTTAGCTGCATATTCCATATATAATACGGTAAGTTGTGTACCTTCACACTTAAATGTAGTTTCTCTTGCTCCAAGCCCCTATGTACAACCTGGCCTTGAACACTGCCAGGGATGGGGCAGCCACAGCTTCTCTGGGCAACTTGTGCTGGCGCCTCACCCGCATTGTGAGTATCTTACTGGACAGACTGAACTGTGCATACAGGTCAACTGAAACTAAGTATAGTGTCTAATAGGAATCATGAGTTTGTGCTGCGCTGGACTTTTAACTGCTGTTATTTTCCTCCCATTTCATTAAATGCTTCCCGTCTATTTGAATAATGGGAAGGAAGACACTGCAGAAAGATGTGTGTTGGAGTAAACAGGCATATTTCATAACCTGGAGGGGGTATAACAAATGCAGAATGATTTTAAAGACTGCATCTTCTTTACTTAAGCCCTTGGTGTTGGCTGCAGTCCTGGATGAGGGTTTGTTAGAGTGATGTTTTCCAGACATAAGGGTTAGAAATGTAGGTGTTTTGTAATGTTTTTTGTCTGCATGCTAAAAGTAGAAGAAACAGAAATCCTGTCATGTCCCCATTTAACTGTGGTTTTAATGCACTATCCTCTCATTCCTTGTGCCCTTTTGAATCATTTTTGTGCGTCTTTCATTTTCTAACCAGCAGCAGCTCCCTCCAATTCAATGGAAAAGCATGTAAAGTTAAGAAGAAAGCAGAATCAAGCAGTTACTCTAAACAGCACTGTTCCATTTTTAAAAGGTCCAGGGGATAGAACATTTCTGTCCTGTTTCAGCTTCTGTCTCCTCACATTTGTTGGCCCATAAAAGGCTAGAGTTTGTTGTCTTCCACTTGTTACGTTGTCATATGCTTTTCTTTGCAAGCAGCCTTGACTCACTGAGAAGTAAAACTCTGGAAGAACCTCTATATATGTCCTATAAAATTGGACTAGTATCAATTTGCTTGAAAAATACTGTGTATCATCAGCTGTTAAAGTGTAATGATGAGAATACTGCGGTGAGGTTTTTATTTTGCACTTAATGTTGCATTTTTCCTCTTATGCTTTGATTTTATCTCTAGAGCAGAATTCTGCTAAGAACTTGTCAACCTGAAGAAACTTAATCCAAGTATTTGTGAGGACGTAGGCTCAGTTGTTATCAGTGGGGTTAGCTGAGCAGCTAAATGACAGTGACATTTGATTCCTGCCACAAAAGTAGAAATTAATGGCAGAGGAAATACCCAAATTCAGGTTTGGAACAATAAAGGTTTTTTTTCTTCAGGTTTATTACATCTGCTTGCTATGGGCTGCTAAACTTGAGCAGATTTATAGTTACAGGTCACTCTAGAAAAGTCTTGTGTTTGTCAGATGGTGCCCTGACTGTAAAGCCAAACAAAGCAAGAGCTCTTCTCCCCAGGCCTCCCTTGAATTACAACTAAAACACATCCAATTGGACAGCAAGATACAGTTATTTGGTATTATTAGTACTGACAAGGGGCTTGTGCATCAGTAAAAAGTTCAAATGAACCATCAAGATTTCCATTTACTTTTCAGTTGAAGGGTTGTGAATAATTCCTTCTATCTATCAGTGTTGTAAATACTTCAATGTTAAGTGTGTTTGGTGGTGTCATAATTAGGGAACTTACACCATTAAGTCAGGCATCCTCTTTCTTCCACCAGGTGAAGGAAGAACTGAGAGCTCATGGTTATAAGGCTTTTGTTTTCAGTGTTGTAATGTTTCACTGTCTGATTTTCAGGAAGTTGGATATTGTCAGGGAATGAGCCAGATCACAGCTTTACTCCTTATGTACATGAATGAAGAAGATGCCTTCTGGGCCTTGGTGAAGCTTTTCTCTGGTCCAAAGCATGCCATGCATGGTATGGAGTTTCCTGTCATTTGGTATATGTTAGGTTTCAAGTCATAAATTATTTGAAAATGGAACTATGCTTTTCTGTCTGTATAGTCAAAATAAGGCATAATGGAGTCTTTATACTGGGGAACTATTGGATATTATTAGACCTTTTACCCATAATGGTATTGTAATTGTTTTTACGTGTGATATCTTTCAGATAGTTCTTAATGAAAACCAGATGGTTTCCTTTCCTCTTAATTTCTTAGGGAATGTAACCAATTGAAAGCTGGTTGTGTAGGGATTTGTATAGCAATAAAATAGTAGTGGAAACCTAGTATGTGTTAGAATGTGTTAAATAATGTGTTAGAATGTATTAAATACTGCAGTTGTGCTGTCATTCAGTAGGACAGGAATCTGTAGTTAAAAATGCACTTGTATCTAGTATTAACTTCAGCTTCCATGGTTTTATCTCTGCCTTGCACAGCATTTCCTGCTCTCATGGTCTTTTTACTTTGATGTCATTGGTAGTTCTCTCTTTCTATGCCAAATTTAGTATGATCTGTGCATGTTCCATGGCTCCTGGTATGGAAAAACTCCAGGAATTCCAGCATCTTTTGTAGATGTTAGTGGTGTGGTAATTCAGAAAAGCTGTAGTTCTTGGAAGCCAGAAAAGTAGATTTTGGGCTTTTTAGGAAATTTTCAGCAAGAACTAACTCCTTTTACTTGCTTAAAACTTTCTAATATGGTGATACATTCCTTCCCTGGCTTTTCATGGAATCATAGAATGGTTTGGGTTGGAAAGGACCTTAATATCATCCAGTTCCTGCCACCCTGCCATGGGGAGGGAAACCTCTCACTAGACCAGGTTGCTTCAGGCCCTGTCCAACCTGGCCTTGAACATTGCCATTAAATTGAGCACTCACAACTTCCTTGGACAACCTGTTCCAGTTGCCTTATCACCCTCACAGTAAGGAACTTCTTCCTTATTTCTAACCTGAATTTCCTGTTTAAGTTTAAACCCATTACTCCTTGTTGTATTATTGCAGTCCTTAATGAAGAGTCCCTCCCCAGCCTCCCTATAGGCCCCCTTCAGATACTGGAAGGCTGCTATGAGGTCTCCACGCAGCCTTCTCTTCTCCAGGCTGAACAGCCCCAACTTTCTCAGCCTGTCTTCATACAGGAGGTGCTCCAGTCCCTGATCATCCTCGTGGCCTCCTCTGGACTTGTTCCAACAGTTCCATGTCCTTTTTATGTTGAGGACACCAGAACTGCACACAATGCTCCAGGTGAAGTCTCACAAGAGCAGAGCAGAGGGGCAGGATCACCTTCCTTCGCCCTGCTGGTCACGCTCCTTTTGATGCAGCCCAGGATACGGTTGGTTTCTGGGCTGTGAGCGCACACTGAAGCCGGCTCATGTTCATTTTCTCATCGACCAACACCCCCAAGTCCTTCTCCACAGGACTGCTCTGAATCTCTTCTCTGCCCAGCCTTTAGCATCCTGTGTTCTTGGGTGTTCTCCACATGCTAGGCAAAGTGCTAGTTGGTCATTTTCCTGTTTATACTTCTGCAAAGATATTGCCTTCAAAAACAAAAAGGTGCAACCTGGCGTGAGGGTCTGTGTCTTTAGTGAAGCTTTAAATCCATCAGGAGTCAAATGCTTGCTCAAAGCTTTCCACAATGATAACACCGACAGAAAGCATCTTACCCCATATATTTAATAATAATCAGGAACTATACAATTACAACTGTGTGGAATGTTGAAATCCTCAAAGGTCATAGAAGATTTTGGGGAGTAAATCTAAATCAACTTCTTATATACCAACTCTGGTTTTGATACGTGGGAGCTTCACATAGGTATAGGTGCCTTTTTAAGATGCCATAGACTGCAAACAGGATTTTAAAACTCATTCCAGATTTTATGTCTTTGTGTTTTGTCAGTGTCCCCTTTGGACCTTAGAGTGTGGTGCTACTGGAGAGCTCTTAACACGGATTTCTCAGGCTGATTTCTGTAGGCATCCTTTCACCTTGCTGTAATGAATAAGAGGGTTCATCTGGTAGCTGGTGAGGAAGAAAAGCTGATGTCATGTCAGCCACTTCCCAGACTCCTGGTGTTTTAAGCAAGAGGTTTCACATAATGCATGTTTCAGCTACTTGGTCTTTGAGTTCTAGAGCTGTTTAGTGTTCTGGACCCTCCCCAGTGGTTTCCATGCACAAACTTGGTTTTAGTAAACTTGTAAACTGAGCACTTGTAAAAATCTTCACAGACTGTTGAACTTACAAACTCTCTGTCAGGTTTTCTGCTTCCAAGGGGTTTACAAATAGATCTATTAGTATTTTTTAATGCCTTTGGGAAGTTGCTTTCTCGGGGGGAGGCTTGTTCTCTCACATGGTTGTACTGCCAGTGTTGGAGCATCTCTGATCTGAACACAGCTTCAGCTTTCCGAAGGACCTTCTCTGAGTGGTTCCTTTTCCTGCTGGGTAGCTGTGCTAGCTTTCCTTTACATCTCAAGGTTTTTTGGCTAGTGTTATATGCTTGCTCTGAGCCTTTAGCTGTGCTGATAGCTCAGTTGTAAGGGGATCTCAGCCCGTTCCTTTTCCAGCTTGTGATCACTAAAACTACTTGGTATTTTTTATATGCCCTTAGTTTCAGTTGTGTGAGCGCACAGTCTTTATACTACATATTCATTATATTTATCTTGGTAGAATATCCCTCTTGTCATGTTTATGATCTTCAGTGCAGACAGTTCTAGTAACTGCCTATGCTGTTTGTCCCTCTAGCATGAATTTGCTGGGCATAATCCTGATTTATGTCTCTTTGCTCTTAAAAGTTGGTTGTAATTCTGTGTTTTTAAAGAGTAATTAAAACTTTGGTTTCCCCTGGGTATTAGAATGGGTAGACTAACACAGGACTGGTGGATTTGCTGTCCTCAAGCATCATTAATCTAATAGTAGTCACTAAGGGAATGCATTGGTATTTTGCTGTAGTCACTGAGGCAAGAGTTATGTGCATATCCATATGAGGACTTCATAGTATTTTGCTGAATACCTGTTCAGATTCAGTGGCCTTATAGAAGAATGATGTTCTTGGGGCTCTGAATGCATTTTTAATATCATTTTTATAGTACATATACCCGTTACATGGTCAACTTCTTTTCTTAGGTTTTTTTGTTCCTGGTTTCCCAAAACTGTTGAGGTATCAAGAGCATCACGACAAAGTACTGACAAAATTTCTGACCAAACTTAAGGAGCATTTGGTAAGTATTTACAGCACAATAAAAGCAATTCCTATTTACAGCCTGCTGCCTTGTTTCACTTCGGGTTAACCCACCAGGTTAAGAATGCCTCAAACCTCAGAAAAAAACGTGCAAAACAGAAGGGGCAGAAGTGCTGTTGTTGTCTTTATAGACCAAGTTATGGTGCACCTTGACAGAGTTACTCCTAAGAGTAATTAAACTGGGTATCCATGTCACTTTTCACCTCTGAAAATATGCTGACCTTCTGCATGGCCTTGTGCAAACTGCTGGATAGCAAGCTGATGCTAAAACATTGAAGCAAGAGTTTATCGTATGTAGAGCCCTCTGGCTCATCTCTGGACAGAGGTGGTTTTGCAACCAACAAGTTTTAATCTCTGTTTATAAAAAATAGCCTTTATAAGAGAGTTTTGATATTTGCACCTACACAGTAGGATTTTCATGAAGCTAAATGTTATCTCTTCTAATGCTCTTAAATAGGAAGTAATACGCTCTGTATTGCTAACATCAGCTGTATTTATTCCACGTTCTTTTTCTGATCGGAAAAAAATGCTGTTCCAGTAGTCAAGAATTTGCTTTTACAATCAGCATTGGTTCTGTCAGAATCCATGTTCAAGTCTTAAAAGGTAGTGTAAGAGATGCTCAGTTGCAGCAACATCTTTGAAGAGTGACTGCTACCTTTCCAGGACTGTACTATTTTCTGTTTAGTGCATTTATCTCCTTACAAAAGTAAGACAATGTGGGATCAGACCAGCACCCTGGCAATGATGAATTGCATCTAATGTGTGCCAGTTGTGTTATAAAGTAGAACTTAATGTCTTTTTTTTTTTTACCAACATGCTGTAAGACCTGTTTATAACATGGAACTAGGCAGATCTGGTTAGGAGAAAAACCCAAACCACTCCTCTATTAAAAGGCTGAGTCAAAATTAGTCATGCAAGGTGATCTTGTCATATTGCTAAAACATAAAAAAGGGAAAATACCAAGGCAAGTTCTTTTACAACCTGGACTCTGTAAGTTTTGGATTTAGTTTTTCCAGTACAGTTACAAAGTGATGATTCTTGTTTAGAAATGCAGTCTTACTCTCATTTTTGAGGTTATCACATTTCAGGAACAAAGTCTAGAATAATCCCAAGAAGACTGAGTGGTTTAACAGGAAATGGCAAAAGGCACTTTCTGAAACTCCCAGAATAATTATACATGATTGAGGTGCTACAGCCTGAGGTGGCACGTTACTGTATTTTGTATATTGCTTGTATACCTCTTATTACTACATTTAATGACCAAGAACTGTTTTATTCTGCCATCTGTCCCCATCCCTCATGTCCCCCCACCTCACATGGGTTGGTTGGTAGAGACAGTTTCAGAAAAGTGTAGGAAGTTGCTTTAATAACTGGAAAAGCTCATTTAAATAGAAGGCTTTGATAGCTCCCTCTGAGGGAGTTCTTGGCCGCTTGTTTAAAGGGATCCAGAAAACATTCACTCTCTATATATTTATTATATGAATTTCATTTCAGGTTTAAATCAGAACTTGTTTCTGGTTTTGTGTGAATTGGTTTAGTGGCATTGACTTTAATAGCAGTCAGGGTTTTTATGAGGGAAGGGTATGGTCCATCATATCTATCTTTCAGTAGGCTGATGGCCATTCTTACAGGTTAGAAAAATCTCAGAATAAGGTGGTTTTTGCTCTGTCTGCTTTCTGTAAAGACTCCCAAAATGAAAATGTCATAAAGGTTATTTCAATTATACTAAGATTTATTTTTCCTCATTTCTGACTGTGAATGTATCTCTTAGATGAACCCATTTTACCTCACTGAAAGATTGAAGTAAAGCCTGCAGATGATCCAGAGGGATTTGGTCCATTGCTAATTCCGTGTTTGTATACTTTAAATTTTAGGAAAGGCTGAATGTGGCAAGCAGAAAAATAGGGTGTTATCCCATAGTTCAAGTGCAGAATTTCTTAAATTTTTGGCTTTTACTTCAGCTTTTCCTCTTTGAGTTCTCCCTCAATGAACTTTGAAGAGCTCCATGGAAGTGCCAAGAAGCTTTAGCCTCCCTTTAAGGGGTGGCATACCAGATGCACCATCTATGCTCTAGGGAAATGAGGCCCCTTAGTTAAGAAATGAAATACCTTATCAGCCTAAGTGCTGGTTTTAGGTCCTGTGTTTGAAGAATTCAACTGTTTCAAGCTGCTTTCTAGTAGATAGGTATCCTTGTGACAAATCCCTTCTACCTTCAGCATGAATTGCAACCTTGCTACAGAGAAATGAAAGACTGAATGGACTCAGTGCCTGAGCTTTGGTTGTGGCAGATTGTTGATGTAATTTCATCAGAGGGGATTTAATTCTCTGCTACATCCGTCCCAAAAAAGTGAGTGGAAGACTAAGATGTGTTAATACCCCTGCATCTCCAGATGCATGTTACTTCAGGTGGTGAAGCTGCTGAGGAAAACTATAAAAGACAGAAATGGTGTTTTTTAGACTGAAGTAACAGTGTTTCATGGAGTTAAATTAATTCTTTATGGTGAATATTGGGTGCATTGGCTTCAAGGTGAAAATGTTTTTTTATGGACAGTGTAAAGCAGTACTGGAATTACTTGGATTTTAAACTTCTGCATTTTTTACAGGACTCCCAGGATATATCCACTGGTTTTTACACAACAAAATGGTTTTTGCACTGTTTCCTTGGTCATGTGAGTATGCTTTTCATATTCTATTTCTGTTTTTAATTGTGATTTGAATAGACTGTTTTAACAGTGTTGCCTGATTCTGTCATTTCAGACTCCCTTTACGTTAAGCCTCAGGATATGGGATATCTACCTACTTGAAGGAGAGCGGATTCTCACTGCTATGTCTTACACGATTCTGAAACTACACAAAAGTAAGACATCTCTCAAACATATGAATGCTAAACAGAGATTCAGCTGGTTTTGATTTTATTTTGTGTACCTTGACCTTGTGCGAAAATCTTGGTTTCCCATTAGCCTAATACTGTGTCTGACAGGCATTTCTCGTTCCTTATGCTCAAAAAAGCTCAGTCTTTGCTCTATTAAAGTGTGTGTGTGTGGTGGCTTGACCTTGGGTAGGTGCCAGATGCCCATCAAGCTGCTCTGTCGATCCTGTACTGTGCTGGATGAAGGAGGGAGAAAATAAGATAGGTAAAAACCTTGTTTGTCAAAATAAAGGTAGTTTAATAAAGCAAAAACCAGGCATGGAAGCAAAGGAAAACAAAAGATTTATTCTCTATTTCACATCAGTAGGTGATATCCAGCCACTTCCCAGGAAGCAGGGCTTCAGTAGGTGTAGCAGACATCATGATAACGAATGCTCCCCCTTCTCCGCCTCCATCCTCTAAACTTTCATTCCTGAGCAGACATCGTATGGTATGGAATATGCCTTGGGTCAGCTGGGGTCAGCTGCCCTGGCTGTGTGCCCTCCCAAGATCTTGCCCATCCCTAGCCTGCTGGAGGGAAGTCTTGATGGCAGCACTGCTCAGCAGTAGTCAAACCACTGGTGTGTTATCAGCACCTTTCCAGCTACCAACGCAAAGCACAGCACTGCTGTGGGGAAAAGTAACTCCATCCAAGCCAGACCACACACAATGTGATTGCCAAAGAAAAATATATTTTATAGTAAGAAAGATATTTAAACATTGACATGAGGCAAGTAGTATTGCTGATTGAACAGTGGGGGGTGGGGGGGGGAACGTAGTTCCATGATCTGGAAATGCCTTTTAGCCCCTCCAGGATTTAAGCTAACCATAAAAGCACATAAAGAATCCAGGGTGTGCCACTAAATACCTGAATCTCTATCAGCAAACAGCTTAGCAATGGGGAACCACCAGTGTGTGTGTGTCTCTATACTACTGTCCAAGAATAGAATTAAGAATCAGAATTTCTATAGCCTGTCTGGGTGGCCTCTTCAATCCCTTGCCTTTGGATAAAGTGAAATTTGAGATTTTGAACAGAAGGATTGTCTGTGCCTGGTTCCAAAGGATCCAAAAAGCTTTTGAGGATGAATTATTGTCTCATAACACCGAGCATTTCTCATGATGATACCTTGTACTTTGAGTTTGGAACAGTCTTATTCTGGGACTTTGGCTTTCTTAGTGAAGTCCTTTATGTGAATTCAGAGGTCTGCTTGGAGCCTGCAGAATTGGGGTCTTAATTTGCTTGCTAATTTACCCTCTTTGAACTGGGGTGATACTACCTCACTGTCTCACTGGGCTGTGAATGAACGTTATGAACAAACATTAGTTTGTTCATAAACGGGTTTGAAAAATGAAAGGGGTTCCTTTTTAAATTATCGTACTTAACTAAATTTGTAGCAACAAATTTTTAGGCTTTGTATTTTGGTTTCTCTTCTTCATTTACAAATAGACATCTACTTCAAAATATTTTTTATTCACAAGTCTTTTTATGGGAAGACCTGAGGAAAACGTCCCAGTGCAGGTTTGCTTGGTTAGCAAGTACAGGGCAACCTCCTCCGTCATCAGAACACTGAGAGTGTTTTATGTCAAAAGAGAAGAGATTAGAGGACTGGCAAGAAGCTGGCAGAAGATGGGTTCTGATCTGTTATCCAGGCTCTTGTCTACCCTTAAAACACAAGAAGGATGTGGACCTGCTCGAGCAAATCCAGAGGAGGCTGTGAAGATCATTAGAGGGCTGGAGAACCTCCGCTATGGAGACAGACTGAGAGCTGGGCTTGCTCAGACTGGAGAAGAGAAGGCTCCAGGAAGACCGTAGAGCAGCTCCAATGCCTGAAGGGGCCAAGAAGAAATCTGGAGAGGGGCTTTGGACAAGGGCCTTTAGGGATAGGACAAGAGGAATGGCTTTAACCTGACAGGGGAGATTTAGATTAGACATCAGGAAGAAGTTTTTCCCTGTGGGGGTGCTGAGGCGCTGGCACAAGGTGCCCAGAGAAGCTGTGGCTGCCCCATCCCTGGCAGTGTTCAAGGCCAGGTTGGACACAGGGGCTTGGAGCAAGCTGCTCTAGTGGAAGGTGTCCCTGTCCACGGCAGGGGGTTGGAACTGGATGAGCTTTAAGGTCCCTTCCAACCCAAATCATTCTATGGTTGATAGTACAACTATCCAGTCAAACTGTCAATGTGGAATACATGCTAGGAGCATTTTTATTACAGTGCAGAAACAGTTTTTATGGCTCATGTATGGGAATTGTTCATTCTAGAACTTGTGATGTTGTACATATGCTTAAAGAAGCTGCACAGCTATGGAGTTGCAGCCTTGCAAGCCATATAAGTTTGTGTGGGAAACATGGCCTTACTGCTGTGTGAAAAGGGAAAGAAAAATAATCTGATAACTGTAAAACGATTTTCAAAATACGACCTGAATTTGATTGAAGTAGCAAAAAGTACCTGAATTTTTAGAGAGCCTGAAGCAGTGGTTCTGAAGCGAGAAGTGCCATCATCATTTCATTGGAAGTTGATTCAGTTGTGGATGAGGATACCGTAAATACCAATTTTCAAAATGTTTTATTGCTTTTCAAAGCCCTTATTGAGAGAGATGATGGATGTTGTACAGATCTACAGCAGTGTCTTGTAAATTGAGGATGCAGGCTGAAAAGGAAGGAACTGAAGCTGTTGGACATAAGAAGGCTGAAGGAGGATGACTTGTAGTTAGTTTCTGAAGATGCCCCTTCTTGGAAAGCATTGTCCTAAGTAGGGAGTGATAAGAAAAAAACATTTCCTGGTATTTATTTGCAAATGAATTTTTAATGCATTTTAGAGATTTCTGATGTAGAATTCTAATGTTTGCAAATGAATTTTTAATGCGTTTTATAGATTTCTGATGTAGAATTGTGATGTTTGCTTAGTTCATAAGCGTTTTTCATTCCGTTTTGAAAACAAAAGCATCTGATGTTGTAAGTACATTTTCCAATGTTCATATTTTAATGTATAATATTTTCTTGTATAGGGCGGCTAATGAAGTTACGAATGGAAGAACTTGCAGAATTTCTGCAGGGCACTTTAGCCAAGAATTTCTTCTATGAAGATGACTATGTAGTAGACCACCTCCAAAATTCTATGTCAGAATTGAAACGAGCAAAGCTGGATTTACCCGTACCTGGTAAGAAATTTGTACACATGTACATTTAGATACATGTAGAGCTGTTTGCACATTGCCCATGTTTTAAGCATTAATTCACGCTGTTAAAAATATTTATCTCTTCATCACTGCATCGGTTTTGGGCGTTTTTGCCTCTGAACTATTTTACAGTTTAAAATCAACACCCTTTATTTCATGAGTTTGCTCCTTTTCAGTGTTTTGTTTATGGGTTGTAAACTAATGGGCAAGTGCTTTAAAACATCCCATGTTCTGATCATTATATTAACTTGGATTTATAAAAAATAGAAGATTAAATATTAAGGTCTCAATTTACTTGAAGCAGCAGCATTGTCTGAGGATCCAGACTGTTTTATAGTTTGATTAGTTATGGAACAAAGTTCAGGTTAAATAGTTTTTTCTGTTCGTCATTTCGTTGCTTGCAGGGGCAGACCTTCTGGGTGTCTAACTGGATTGTTTTCTTTGTCTTCTCAGCTTTGTGCTTTCAGGTTGCAGAGCAGAGATGGTGGTTTCTTGGGGCCTTACTTATGAAACGTGTATAGGATATTTTCTTCCTGTGTTAAGATTCTATTATCTTTTCTATCCCTACCTCCACAAATTTTAATTAGAATTTTTCTTGTGATTATTCAGGGTCCTTCTTCTTTATCCTTGCTAATTGTAAAATACCATTTGGGAAAGGTTATGTTTTAAACAAACTTCTAAAAACACGGCAGAAAATTACCTTGAAATGATTAAGTTGCTGTGGTTGGCTTTCAGAAGTTAAGAAGTATCAGAATAAAGGTTGTCTATATAGCATTGTTGTGATAATTTGTTCCTGAAGCTTTCATTAATGAATTTCACTGGTCTTGTTTCCATAGAGCTTAAATTGCATGCAGTATGGGGCTGCTTCAGGGCTACTAGTCACAAACAGATGCCTGTTTCATATGGTTCTTCAGCAGATCTGTCCCTCTGGGGTACAGACACTTTCTGTACATTTGCTTCCCATCCTCTTGGTTGCTTGCCAGGCTTTCCCATTTCTCTTGATTCATATTCCTCTGTTTTGCCCTCATTCTCACTTTCTGGAGCATGTCTCCAGCACGCTTTCTCTCACCAACAGTAGGTCTAAGTCTAGTTCCTGCTCTTGTCTTCTTGCGTGCTCACTCTTAGACTTTCTCGTCTACATTTACTGTGAGTCTGCAGTTCTCCAAGTTACTGTGTGCATAGTGGCTTCCCCTTTCTATTGCAGCTTCGCATCCTGCCTTCTCTCTGTCTTTTCTTCCACAAGCTGGGTTTCAGTCTTCACTTACTCTTCAGGGCCAGTTGCTCTTTTCAGCTCTACTTTCAGGCATGTGCTTTGTCAGACATCACGTCACAGCTAAGGCTTGGTCATGAGATGTGAGCAGATACATCAGAGAGCAACTTTGTCTTTTAGCATCAAATCCACTCCATCATATTAAAGGAAAATAGGTCATGGGAGTGCTTTTTGTTAAATTTGAAGTACAGAGTCCTCTGTGGTTATGTCTGAGGGGGTTGTCCCAAAAAACTTTGTAGACAGGCCAATTTTTTCCTGGATGTGGAAAAGTAAACTTCGTCAGTGACAAGCTTGGAGTTTCCACTTGAAACTGTGGTAGCCCAAGAGTTGGGAAGGACTTTTGTAGTTTGCTACGTGATGGAGTTAAATGTCTCTTCCAGCCTAGAAAATCCCACACGTGTAACTCATGTTGAGAGCTTTTGTGGAAAATACAGAATCCACTAGGAATTTTCTTGATGCAGAAAAAACTGAAGGCAGGAAGTTTGCTCCTAATTTATTGATGGTTTAAGGCTTTTCTTTTGGGACAGTTTTAAATGCCTTCAGGTTAAGTTTTGTTTGAAAACACTCTGGATTTTCTCAGAAGATTAAAGAAGATTTTAGGTCACATAAGAGCCGTCCAGCTTGTAGTGCAGTTAGAGAAAGTGTGGGACACAAAGATTCTTGTGTGGAGACCAACAGCAAAGGGTAGAGAATGTATCTTCTTGCCAAGGTAGTTTGGCAGTGGAATGCAAGTTACTTGATTTCATACTTTGTACATTTGGTGTAACTTCTGATGTGACTAGCTGACAAGATGGTTTTGGTTTGAGCCATGTTGGTTAGAATCATAGAGTAGTTTGGGTTGGAAAGGACCTTAAGATCATCCAATTCCAACTGCCCTGCCATGGGCAGGAACACCTCACACTAAACCAGTTCTTTGTTTTGGATAGCTCAACATCAGTGACAATAAAATGCCTTCTAATTTATTTTATCAAGACAGATGAGGGAGATTTAATATTAAAGTAGGAAAAGCAAAGCCAAAGTGAAGTATATTTTGGTGCTGGATAAGGAATTGAGCTTTTTCCTTTTTTAATTTCAAAGTAGCCTGGGAAATCCTCTTTGTGTGATGTATTTTTGCCAGGGTAAAGGGGAACATTACTTAACCTTTCACAAAATAAATACAAAATGGCTTCATCCTAATCCTTGGGAATCCAGCTGATTTGTCTGCTGCTATGTACAGTTGAGTGAGGCTGCTCATAGGAATTTCACAACCCTTTGATTTGTAATTTTTTCCTTTTCCCACTCTGCTGTTCAGTTTGGTTTTACTAATCACTGTCTTCAGGCAATAGTATTTTCCTACAGGTTCTCAGCATTCTCTGGACATTTGGTTTGCTCACGTGTTGTGGTGGTTAACCCTGGTTGGACACCAGGTGCCCACCAGAGTCACTCTCAGTCCCCTCCTCAGCTGAAAGGGGAGGGAGAAAGATCTGTGGGTCTGGATAAGGGCAGGGAGAGATCACTCAGCAATCAGTGTCACAGACTTGGGGAAATTAGCTTAATTTCTTATCAATCAAATGAGAGTAGGATAACGAGAAATAAAAGCAAATCTTAAAATCTTCTCCCCCCACCTCCTTCTTCCTGGTTTAATTTCACTCCCGAATTCTCTGCCTCCTCCCCTCCAGTGGTGCAGAGACAGGGAATGGGGGTTGTGGTCAGTTCATCCCATGTTGTCTCCGCTGCGCCTTCCTCCTCAGGGGAGGACTCCTCACACTCTTCCCCTGCTCCAGCGTGGACTCCCTCCCTCCCACAGAAGGCAATCCTCCATGAACTTCTCCAACATGAGTCCTTCCCATGGGCTGCAGTTCTGTATGAACTGCTCCAGTGTGGGTCCCTTCCATGGGGTGCAGTCCTTCAGGAACAGACCGCTCCAATGTGGATCCCCCATCGGGTCACAAGTCCTGCAGCAAACCTGCTCCAGCTTGGGCTCCTCTCTCCATGGGGCCACAGGTCCTGCCAGGAGCCTGCTCCAGCACAGGCTTCCCACAGGGTTGCATCCTCCTTCAGGCATCTCCCTGCTCTGGCGTTGGTCGTCCCCAGGCTGCAGGGAGATACCTGCTCCAACGTGCACCTACTTGGGCTTCAGGGGAGCCTCTGCTCCAGTGCCTGGAGCACCTCCTCCTGCTCCTTCTTCACTGGCCCTGGGGTCTGCAAGGCTGTTTCTTGCACATATTCTCACTGCTTCCTGCACCTATGGTTCCTTCTGCACAGGAACTCTTCCCCCCATCTGAAATATGTTATCCCAGGGGCTCTATCACTGTCACTGAGGGGCTCGGGCTTCTTCAGAAGCTGGTCCATCATAGAGCTGCTGGCATTGGCTCTGCTGGACATGGAGGAAGCTTCTAGCAGCTGCTCACAGAAGCCACCTCTGTAGCTCTCCAGCTACCAAAACCTTGCCATGCAAACCCAATACATGTATCTGACTCTAATCTTTACGACCTTCAGTCTCTTTTTACTGTTATTCTTCTGATTTCATGTAAAACTTACAAAACTATCATGTCATGCAGTGATACAACAAATGCCAGACTCTTCATGTAAGTATCCACTGTAGCCTGAGAAAATAGTGTCTATTTTAGTTTTATCAGCTGAAATCAAAGCATTACTGCATATCTTGTACTTGTTTGGTGTTTTTATTGACTGAACAACAATTACAACTTTAAGTAGTAAAACCAAAGTAAGAATGCATCTTAGGAAAAAGAAATAAAATATCTCCATTTTACAGTTGCATCAGTATCAGTCATCCAGGAGCAGCAGTGAGCTAATTAAGCTCAGTGGAATTTTCCATCTGTCATCCTTTGTTAGGCTGTATAGATTCTCCTGCCCTAGTAGGGTGAGCTGCAGTAGGATATTATAAGAGGTAGCAAGTTTTGTGCTATTTTCAAGTGGATGTCTGCTTATGCCTGATGTAGCTTTCTGTGGCTTGCTTCCTCCATGGCTTCTCCCACTGAATGAAGGAGGTTCTTGTTCCTTACAGAGCCGAGTGGAAGGAAGGGTCTTTGTTGAACAATTTCTCACTGATAAAACCCTTAAACAGAACATGGATGTTAAGGGGATCATGCTAATTTTGGATGTCAGTGAAGTTTTTACCCAATAGTAGGGTGATTTTTGCATAAAGCAGACCATGTGTTGTAATTTCATTTCTCTTTGTAGTAATTTCTAGTCACACAAATGTAGTGTAGGATAGCCTGTACTTAGCAACTGCAACCTTCAGGTTGTACCTTAAGTGCTGTACTCCCAAGCCAATGTAGGCATCCCTGTTCCAGTGACTCTGTGGAGACAGTATGGACAAGCACACTTCTCACTGGCAGGCTGCTTGGTGACCAGGCCCTGGGAGAGGCAGGCTGGGGTGAACCTATGGTAGAAACTGTGGATCTGCTTGAGTGAGTCCAGAGGAGACCACAAGTGTGCTCAGGGGGCTGGAGCACCTCTGCTATGGAGACAGGCTGAGAGAGTTTGGGTTGTTCAGCCTGGAGAAGAGAAGGCTCCAGTGAGACCTTGTGACAGTCTTCCAGTACCTAAAGGGGCCAACAGAAAGTCTGGAGAGGAACTTTTTAACAGGACAAGGGGGGTGGCTTTAAACTGACAGAACTGACAGGGGGGATTATATCTAAGGAAGATGTTCTTCCCTGGGAAGGTGCTGAGGCAGTGGCACAGGGTGCCCAGAGAAGCTGTGGCTGCC